TGTCCCTTAGGCAGTTGCACATTTGGATCTGAATCGAGGTTAGAAGTTAATGAATTTGCATCCCCAATGTAGAGGGTATAGTAAAATATGAGCACTTACTGAAGGAGTGAATGAGAACTGCAAAAGACTGAAGCAGAACACTGGTGTGTATCCCAGGAGGCTGAAAAGGAGAAAAGAAGTGAAGGGAGAGGATGAAGAGCTTGGAAGAGAACTAGGAATGTGCACTGTCACTGAGTCCGTAGATTTTAGGAAGTGGCCATTGTGTTTTGTTGCACAGAGAGAGTTGAATGACAATCAAGAGGTCATAAACAGATTGAGAGGAAAGTCACATAGTGCTAAGAGGGGGATGGGTCGAAAAGTGGATGAAGACATACCTTCAAGGAGTCTGACAATAAAAGAATGGGGATTTGGAAGGGCAAGGAAAGAAACTGATTTTTATTGAGGTGTACAGTTGGATTTAGTGTTCACAACACTAGGGAGCTATTATTCTTCCTATGTTAGGTATAAGACCGAATGCCTCCTAGTTTCCCTACTCCCCAGGAGTTTCCAGTCTGGGTGGTAAATCATAATTACAATATGATGATACTGTAATTAGTAGAATAACAGTATGTATAAGATTTTTGTGAAAATAGGAAAGTGAGTCCATTTCATTGAATCTCTAATACATGTCAGACACTGGGCTTTGAGATGGGAAATGGATTTATAAATTTATCCCTAATCACATTGTGACTAAGTGGTGTTTATTTGTTTATTCCAGAAATATTTATTGTATGTCTACTATGTATGGACATTGATCCAGGATCTTGGGGGATATAGCACTGAACAAGAGACAAAAATTCCTGCCCTCATGGAACTTACACTCTAGAGGGGAGAAAGTTAGGATTCAAGCCCTGCCCTATCTTGACTCCAGAGTGAGTTTTCTTTTTTAGCATACTTTGTAAGGGCTGGATCCTCAGAGGATACGCTGGGGAGGAGCAGGACAAAGGGAAGGCGAAGGTGTGGAAGAATGAGCGAGTGTGTTTGTGTGGAGTGAGTGTGTTTATGTGGAGTCAAGGAGGAAGAAGCACTTCAGATGGTAAGAATAAATGATTGGACTGTACACTTGAGATTTAGGAATTAGGACAGGACCTGTAGCTTAGCCTTTCTCCCAGTAAGAAGACCAATGAGAGTAAATTTTTCTGGGAGGATGAGAATAAGAAATTAGAGGAACTAAGGCAGTGTTGGGGGAAGGGTAAAAGACTTTGACTTACGGGATGGAGATTTTAGATTTAAGTTGTTGGTCCATAAACTGTTTTCGATAGCTCTGGTTGGTATGGCTCAGTTGTTTGGAGCATCATCCCATAACTGAAAGTTTGCAGCTTTGATTCCCCATCAGGGTATGTACCTAGGTTGCAGATTTGATCTCCGGACCAGGCGTGTACAGGAGGCAACCAATCAATGCTTCTCATTTACATCGATGTTTCTCTCCCTTCCTCTCTCTCTAAAAGCAATGAAAAAATGTCTTTGGGTGAGGACGAAAAAAATGTTTTTGATAGCCTTTTATGTAGTTGTTGTCATGATATGTTTATATAATGTAATGAAGGAGTTTAGCCCCAAGGGTTGGAGGTTGAAGTGATCAAAGAAATACTTGGGAATGATGACTGAAGCATCAACCTAATAGGCAAGAAAGGTTGGAGGATGGCATAGCCTAAGGAAAAGGGATCTCATATTTGGAATAAAGGGTCTAGCAGCAGTGTCCAACCTTTTGGCATTTCTGGGCCACACTGGAAGAAGAAGAGTTTTCTTGGGCCACACGTTAAATACATTGCGACACATAATCACAAAAGAAAATCTTATAATGTTTTAAGTAAATTTATGATTTTGTGTTGGGCTGCCTTTGTAGTCATCCTGGGCTGCATGCAGTCCTAGGGCCGCGGTTGGACACCCCTGGAAGGGATTGGGGAGTCAGAGTTGTGAGGATAAATCAGTAAAGGACATGTACATGACATCTGGAAAGGGGTGAGTAGAAGTAAAGGTTTTACTTGGAAGATCAGAAATACAGTCCTGTCGTCCTAGAAAGTGAGAGATAAAGATGGTGTGGTGAAAAGCGAGCAGCTCTATTTGTTTAAATTGAATTTTGGTGTATAGTTCAAGCCAAAAGAACAAGATCTTTTTCTAATCCAGCATGGCCACTATACTGTTGTGGACAAGTGTAGGATCACCCAGCTAAACAGCCTGCTTCTCTTTTCACTGTGCTGTAGGCAGGAAGAGTGGAAGACTTGAGTAAAGGCTTCATCCCTTTTTTTTTTTTTTAAAGTGGTCTCCAACCTCTCTTGAAGTGTATGTAACTCATAGTGCACAGCTGCGTACGTTTTTGTCCTTGGATTATTCCATCTTGTCTGTAGTCTGTTACTCTAACAATACTACTTGCACCCTTAGGTTTGAAGCCTTCAACTGTATTACAGTACATATTCTTTTTACAGTTATTTATTGTGTGTCTGCTGTGTATCAGTACATTTACATTGCTTGGTAAACTTTAATAGTAAATAGATGAAACTGAAAGAGCCAGTTTCATGAACTTAATCGTGAAGTCCTGGGGCACTGTGTTGCATTGGTATCTAGGTTTGGCTGTATCTGACTGAGCCTCTAGATAAGTGATTTAAATGAGGCAGATTTTTATTTTTCTTCACATAATAGTGAACCAGTATGGCAGTTCTGTTACACGAAGTCCTGGGTCCTACCACCTCTCTTGTTGCTCCAGTATTCCTAGGGTGTTGCCCTATGGGCCTGGTCCAGGATGACTCACTTCCACTTCTACATTCAGCCAGCAGGAAGGGGGAAAATGTATGACCTGGAAGTTGCTGTATTATTCCCAGTCAGGATTTAGTCACTCAGCACCCTAGCTGCAAGGTTGGGTTGGAAATGCATTTCTTTTGGGCAGTTAATATGCCCAGCTAAAAATCTATTACTGTAGCAGGAGAGGAACGGAATATTAGGTGAGCAACCAGCTATCTTAGGAGGGACTTTGGTACTACCTTGAGTGGCTTATCTGTAAAGTCTGAATAAATTGTTCTCATCAGTACTCTTACATGAAAGACTGAAGTTCTTTAAGTCCTGGATTCACCTGCTATTGTGGCAGTAAGAAGAACCCTAAGAAATTATTCACAAATGTTCCCTTTATCCTCTAATAATGGTAAAGAAAAGTATTAGTATACATTTATTGCAATGATAGCAAGACATTTAACTCTATAGCTTATTTTCCAGTAGTCTAAAAAATTAAAAAGTGTCAAGAACCCCTTTGTTGCTATCTAGTAAATTGTAAAAAGTGAGCAGCAACTCGGTAGCTTAAAGGGTAGACAGACTGTCAGTTTAGTTTTGTGAACTTGGCTGCTGTGATCATGCAGCCTTTTGTGCTTCCCAGCCCAAAAGGGACCATATTTATGATTTTTTGGCCATACCTGCCTACTTGTATATATGTTACTTAATGTTTGTCCTTCAGTTTACTTTAAATTGATTCATTCTTTAAACTTAGCCTCCTTCTAAGCTATAATCCATTAAAATGTGATTTTGTTTCCTAATAGACATTAAAATGCATAATTACGAAAATAACAATAACATACCCTTTTACCTGCCTAAAACATCTTTAATACCAATGGTATGTACTCACACTTAGAGAAATAACGCTTTGCCTCAGTCCCTAGGCCTCACTGGACTTTTTGTAATTTCTTTCCGTATAGCCATAGCTAAAAAGTGGCTCAGAATTTCAAAGAATTATCTTTTTGCTTTCAACTTTGATAGGGAAGTTTGTGCTTAATTTTGAGCTAGGAATTAATTGCTCTTAAAACTTTGACAGGATTATTAAGAATGATCTGTAAAATATAGCCACCTAAAGATCTTCCTAATCCTTGGCCAGTGTGGCTCCGGTGGTTGGAGCACCGTCCCTTAGGCCAAAGGGCCATGGGCGTTCGATTCTCCATCAGGGCACATACCCAGGTTGCAGATTTGATCCCTGGTCAGCATGCCTAGGAGAAGGCAACCAGTTGGTGTTTCTCTCTCAACATCAATGTTTCTCTCCCTCTCCCCGCCCTTGCCCCTACCCCCAATGCAATGAAAAAATGTCCTCGGGTGAGGATTAAAAAAACAAATATTTTTTCTGGATCTTCTCCGGGAACTGTTGGGCAAGATGTTTAACTTTTGTAGGTCTCAGTTTCCTTATCATTAATGGGACCATATTATTTACCCCATAGGGCTTTTCTGAGGAATAAATAATATATGCAAAAGGCATAGCTGTGGCAGGCACCCTTTCTGTTAATGGATATTTGGATTATTTCCAGTTTTGGACTATTTTAAATAACACTGATGTGAAGAGTCTTTTATGTATGTCTTTTGGTGGACACAAGCATCTATTTCTCTTAGGTATATATATACCTAGGAGTGGTGTTCCTGGATCACAGGTTGTTTAGTTTTTATAGATACTGCCAAACAGTTTTCCAAAGTGGTTATATTCCCATCAGAATGTAGGAGAATTCCAGTTGTACCAGACCCTCTGCCACAGTTGCTATTGCCCTTTGACATTTTAGCCATTCTGATAGACACGAAATGGATCTCATTATGGTTTTAATTTAATTTCCTTAATAAGTAATGGTATGGAAACAGCTTTTCATGTGATCATTGACCATTTGGATATCCTTTTTTTATGAAGTGCCTATTCACAGTCTTTTGCCCATTACTATTTAAAAAATTGGTAGATTTGTCTTTTCTTACAGATATCTATATTGATTCTGGATAGCAGTCTTTTGGATATAAGTATTGTGATATTTTCTCCTATTCTGTGGTTTGCATTTTAACTCTCTTAATGGTATCTTTTAATGAACAAAAATTCTTAATTTCGATGAAGTCTAATTTGTCTTTTTTTTTTAGGTTAGTGCTTTTGTACCATAAGAAGTTTTTGCCTCTCCCAGGTTCAAAAATACATATTTAAAAAATATGTGAAACTAATGTTTTTCTCTATAACAACATAGGTGATGCCATGGAGAGTGGAAAGCCTGGTCCAGTGCAAGTTGTTTTGGTTCAGAAAGACCAACATTCCTTTGAGCTAGAAGAGAAAGCCTTGGCCAGCATCCTCTTGCAGGACCACATTCGGGACCTTGATGTGGTGGTGGTGTCAGTGGCTGGTGCCTTCCGAAAGGGCAAGTCCTTCTTTCTGGACTTTATGCTTCGATACTTATATTTCCAGGTAAGGTAGAATTATTTCATTGCCAGTTAGAAAGTGAGAATTTATGTTCATAAGAGCAAAATAAGCATAGGGGTTATTCATGGTGTGTAAAATTACTTAAAATTTAAGATTTAATGGAAATGTCTTACTCCTCCTGTAGAAAGAAGGTGGCCATGCAAATTGGTTAGGTGATCCAGAAGAACCATTAACAGGATTTTCATGGAGAGGGGGCTCTGACCCAGAAACCACTGGGATTCAGATCTGGAATGAAGTTTTCACTGTGGAGAAGCCAGGTGGGAAGAAGGTAAAGGAAAAAGGCTTCCAAATGAACAGAAACAACAACATGAGAATTTTAATATGTACTTTGATAATCCAATTAAAAAATAATTTTTATCAAAACAATACATTTATGGTTTAAAAATAATGCATGAATATAGTTTAAAAGGTCGAATAGTAGTAGAGGGCTTCTAACAAAAAATAGTAAGCTATAGTTGTAGAGCCTGTCCCCAAATTTCTTTGTAAGGGTTGGGAGGGGCAAGTCATCTGTCTCTTAAACTGGAAGAACAGATTTGGGGGTACCATTATTTCTTAAACTTGAACCCATTCCTTCCTAAAGCATGCCCTCACACCTGCTTGTTCCTCTCATTTTTGAGTCTTTCTAGGACTTAAGGTTCCAAATTTCCCCTTCATGTTATTTAGTTTTAGCCTTTTCCTAAATGCTAAGTCATTCAGTATTTTGTGGGCTGGAGTTGATGCACATGACATGAGAATACCACTTTAAGTGTACATGATTCCCATTCCTCAGAAGTTTTTCTTTAGTATTTCCCTTTGTTTCCTCTATTTAGCCTCATTTTTTAAGTTAGTAAATATATGCCATAATTAATTAGCTCTTTTTTATTGAGATAAATTTACATGTCATAAAATTCATTCTTTAAAAGCCTAGGATTCAGCAGTTTTAGTATACTCATAAACCTGTTTAGGTATCGCCACCATCTAATTCCAGAACATTTTCATCACCCCAGGAAGAAACTCCATCACCCCATTAGCAGCCACTCCTCATGTCCCTCTTCTCCCACCTCCTGGCCACTACTGATTTGTTTGTTTTTAGCATTAACTTTTGTTGTTTTTAATTGATTGTTAACATGCCATAACATTCACACTTAATTTTCAAATGTACAGCTTGATGATACTTAGAATATTCACATGATTGTACAACCATCACCACTGTCTAATTCTAAAACATTTTTATCACTTCATATAGGAACTAAAATTGATTTTAAAGTACTAGTTAATTAGAGAAAGGAGTAAGATATCTCAGGATATGATGGAGAGACCAAGTGTATTCTGAGATTTTATTTTTTAATTTTTATTTTTTTAAAGCCAATCTCTTTGGTAGGACCAAGGCGTAAGTGATCCTACCTGAATCCAGCCTATCTCTTCTACTTTATTTTTTTTAAAGAGTTTATTTATTTATTTTTAGACAGAAGGGAAGGGAAGGAGAAGGGGGGAGAGAAACATCCATGTGTGGTTGCCTCTCACATGCCCCCTACTGGGGACCTGGCCTGCAACCCAGGCATGTGCCCTGACTGGGAATCAAACTGGCAACCCTTTGGTTCACAGGCTGGCGCTCAATCCACTGAGCCATACCGGGGAGGGACGTTGATCTTCTTTCAGAATTACAGAGAGGAGATTATGGTTTAATGTAGTTTTATATGTGGTGTATTTATGTTTTGTTTATATATATTTTATATGTATCTGGTACTTGCTTTTTTAGCAACATTTTGTTTTTAACTAAATAATATATATGCATAGTTTAAATAGTTGAATAATATTGCAATGTTGACAATAAAAAGGAGCATCTTTTTTACTGCCTAGTCCATTGTTCGAGAGGGAACCACTTGTAGTGTTTGTGGCTGTGTCTTCTGCTATTTGCTTCTGAATTTTTAAGTCTCACTTTCTGGATGGGAATGGGTCATTAAGTACTCTTTGAAGCCTAGCTATCTTACATGGAGTGCAATGATAGCCTAGATCCTTCTGCTTTCATTTGGCATCTTTGGTGTGGCTTGTCTTTTGTAATGATTAAAATAAATATTAGTCTACTTTTATCAAACTACCAGAAAAACCTAGAAGTTTGAGGGTTGAATACAATGTTGCCGGTAAATGCCAAAAATATTCTAGTCCATATATTTTATTAAATTTAGGATTATACCTAAGTTTAAAAATCAGTTTTTTTTAAAAAAGTGAGTTCGTATTTTAAATTTCTTTTTCAACAACAAAAAACATCCAAATGACTGGCTTGATGAGTGAGGTAATTTGGCTATTTCAGTTGGTGGGGCAGTTTTTCCCTCTTTCCCTATTGCTCTGTAGGGCCTCTGTTTTGTATCATTTTATTAGGTTAGAGCAGATAATATTTTCCAGTAAAGTTCTCTGCTCAGAACAAAGCACCTAAATAATTATACTTTTCTGATAACCTATAAGCAGGTGCTTAAGCCTTGTTTAAATGTTACCCGTACTTTGCAATTTCTCCTTTACATTTTCCCCCTTCTCGCTTTAACATATTTTTTTCCTTTTTTTTTTTTTTTTTTTTTTAAAGGTTGCAGTTGTTCTGATGGATACCCAGGGGGCATTTGACAGCCAGTCCACTGTGAAAGATTGTGCTACCATCTTTGCTCTAAGCACCATGACTAGTTCTGTTCAGGTAAAATCACTTGACTAGGAAAAAAGCTTGTAGAGGAAATAAGATAAAGAGGTCACACCTAGTTTTGGTTATTGTTCTGTTATCACAATTCCTATGGTGATATATGAATGTTCTTTTTAGTGTATATAGATATAAGTTAACCTCTTACAGCCTCAAGAAGGAGCCTAAACTATTTTTCACTTTGGTTATAAATTTAAATAAAATACTCTAAGAAAAGTCTGAAAGTGGAAATTGCAGTTGCATCATATAGGAAATGCAGATTTGTTAAGAACTTAAGAAAACTATATTTTAAACTGTAAAGGAAGAATTAGGTTATTTTAATCATATTTGCATAGTTTTCCAAAGGATGGATAGTATTACTTTTGGAACAGACTTCATATTTTTAAATGCAAATTTTTAAATGTAAAAAGCTTCTGTTCCATGCTTTAGGCTTATTTGGGCTTCGTTTGAAGTAAGCTAAAGTAGATTCAATTTGGATTTTTGTTTTCTAGATTTATAATTTGTCCCAGAACATTCAGGAAGATGACCTTCAACAGCTACAGGTATCTATCCCTCATTAAAACATCATAATATATCATTTAAAAGTTTTAAGACAGAAAAATAAAAAGCTCACGTCAATTCAAGGCATGTTTTTCTTCAAATGAGTTTGCTGCTTAACTTAGGTTTTTAGAGCTTTTTGGATTTCAGAACTACAGATAAGAGATCTTGGGTTTTGTATAATTTTGTGTGTTTTTGTTTTGTCTTTATATAGTATTTTGTATTTATCGGATACTTTTTTTTTAACCAACATTTTGTTTTAAACAAAAGTTATACATATATAGTTTAAAAGTTAAATGGTTAAATAATGTTGCAACCATGGCAACCACAAATCTGTTCTCTACTCATGAACTTGCTTTATTTTAGTTTTTTAGAAAGATTTTATTTATTTCTAGACAGAGTGGGAAGAAGGGAGAAAGAGAGGGAGAGACATTGATGTGAGAGAGAAATGTCAATCTGTTGCCTCTGGTATGCGCCCTGACGAGGGACTGAGCCCACCACCTAGGCCTGTGCCCTGTCCAGGAGTTGCACCAGCAACCTTTCGCTTTGACGCCCAACCGAGTCACGCCGGTCAGGGCAAGCTTGTTTTGTTTTAAACTTGTTTATTATTATTATTATTTTTTTTTTATCCTCACCTGAGGATGTGCTTACTGATTTTAGAGAGGGGAAGGAAGTGGGAGAGAGGGAGAGAAACTCAGCGTGAGAAACATTGACTGGTTGCCTCTTCCATGTGCACTGATTGGGGACCGAACCTGCAACCCAGGCTTGTGCCCCGACCTGGAATTGAACCCGTGACTCTTTGGTTTACTGGACAGTGCTCCAACCAACTGGGCCATGCAGGCCAGGGCTTATTTTTTGTGTTTTTTTTTTAGAGACCCGATATAATTAAGATCATATAGTATTTGTCTTTGTCTGACTTGTTTCACTTAGTGTAATGCCCTCACGGTCCATCTGTATGGCAAATGGCAAAATTTCCTTCTTTTATGGCAGAGTAATATTCTACTGCATATATATGCCACATCTTCTTTATCTGTTCATTCACTGATGAATACTTAGGTTGCTGCCATCTCTTGACTATTGTAAATGATACTGCAATGAACACGGGGTGCATATATCTTTTTGAGTTAAGTTTTCATTTTCTTTGGGTTAATATACAGAAGTGGAATTGCTGGATCATAATAGTAGTTCTATTTTTAACTTTTTGAGGAACCTCTATACTGTTTTCCACAGTGGCTGCACCAATCTTACAGCAGCGTGCAAGGGTTCCCTTTCTTCCACGTCACCTCCAACAGTTTTTCTTTTTGGTAATAGCCATTTTAACAGGTGTGAGGTGATACCTCATTGTGGTTTTGTTTGGCTTTTCCCTGATGATCAGTGATGTTTATAGCACCTTTTTATGTATCTGCTGGCCATGTGTATGTCTTCTGTGGAAAAGTACCTATTCAGATTCTCTGCCCATTTTCAACTGCATTCTTTTTGCTATTGCATTATATGAGTTCCTTATATATTTTGGATATTAACCCTTTACTGATGTGTGATTTGCAAGTATTTTCTCCCATTCAGTATTTTTTCCCTTTTCATTTTGTTGATCCTTTCCTTTGCTTTTTAGTTTGACATAGTCCCATTTATTTATTTTTGGTTTTGTTCCCCTTGTGTTTGGTGTCAGATCCAAAACGTCATTACCAAGACCTGTGTCAAAGAGTTTACTCCTCTATGTTTTCTTCTAGGAATTTTATGATTTCAGGTCTCACATTTAAGTTTTTAATCCATCCATACTGAGTTAATTTTTATATATGGTGTATAATAGTAATCTAGTTTTATTCTTTGGCACGTGGCTGCCCAGTTTTCTCACTACTATTTACTCTCGAGAAGACTGTCCTTTCCCCATTGTGTATTCTGGTCTTTGTTGTAAATTGACCGTATATAGAGTATGGGTTATTCTGGGCTCTATATTCTGTTCCATTGATTGTCTTTGCCAATACCATAGCTTTTTATTTTTTTATTTTGTTAGCATTATAATATAGTTTGAAATCATGGCCTGGCAGTTTCTTTTCAGTTCCTTTCTCATTGGATCCCATTTAATCTTTTATTTGTTTATTCTACCTTTAATTCTATGTACTTTCCAGTAGTTTCCTGAGAAAGGATACAAAGAATACATAGGAGATAACTTTTCTGAGGTCTTGTAAGTCTGAAAATATTTTAATTTTGTCCTGGAATTATAGGATGGAAATATTTTTCTTTTAGAATTGAAGCCATTGCTTCATAACCTTCCAGCTACTGGTGGTGAAGTCCCACACCACCTGATTGCTGGTTGTTTGTATATGACCTCTGTTTCTCTTTAAAGCTTTTAAAGATCTTATTCTTGGCATGACTTTTCATGGTAATGTACCTTAGTGTGTACTTTTTCTTCATTCTTTGTAAATTCATATCCTCAGATAAGATGTTCAAATTGTTGCAACCAAGAAATAGCAATAGGATGCTATTAAAAAGCAACATTCAGAAAACAATAAACAAAAAAGAGCTGTTGGAAATTAAAACTATGATAGCAAAAGTTGAAAATTCAGTAGAGGAGGAGTTAGAAGAAAAATTGGAGAAAATCTCCCTGGCAGACTGAATAAAAAGATAGAGTTGAAATGGGGGGAGGAGTGGAACAGAGAGAGAGGAGGAGAAAGATTAGAGGGAGATGTGGGGCAGAGGGAGGAGGAGAAGAAGAACAGTAGGCACAGAAAAAAAGAAAAATTTGGTGATCAATTCAGGCGAGATTAACATGTTAATAATAGGTATTTTAGAAAGAGAAAGCAGAAAATGGAGGGGGAGAAAGTATAAAAGGAATAATATGATATTCTAGAGTTGAAGGACGTGAATTTTTATCATTTCTGCTAGAAGGTTTTTTCAACAGTCTGGTGGTTCTTGACCATCTATATTTAACAGTAAGTCACTAGAGATGTGACTGGGAGCTTAGGTGAGAGGTGAGCCTTGTGTATTGTTTTAGATCTCAGAGAGGTAATTGGGCAAGGTGGTTTAGCTATCTTGTTTCAACCTCTAAATGTCTATTTGCAGAGTGTTCTTGGGCTGTCAAATTCCCCAGAGAAGAATTCTTTAAACTCCTGCCTTGATTGGTGGGTAGGTAGAAAGAAGCTTATTGAGAGACTCCAGCAGGGTGTGAGCGCCTAAGGAGTTTCTCTGCTCAGCGTGTTTGTGGACTTTGATTTAAGAACCCATTTCCATTGAGGTAGGGGACTTCTTACTCAGTTAAGTTTGGAATCAACATCTACATTCTTTCTGGTTTATCATCTCCAGAATGTGTATTTCCCACATTCGGGGGCGCAGGAAGAGAGGGCATTGGCGCTCAGGGCGGGAGCAGGATCTGCGAGTGTTAGTTGCTTTCTCCAAAGACTTTCAGCCTTTCTTTTAGTTATCTCTCTCACCCCATCTGTCAAGGTAACTGGTGCTTCTAATTTCTGAGCCTTTCAGGGATTCTGCTGAGAAAAATCTGCTTATTTCTAGATAGCCCCTGTGTCTTGCAGATGTCTTAAGGCAGAGAAAGCCAAAACTTGAGACAGTTCTTGTTTGTCTGTTTTCCTTCCAGTGTTTTTGACAACTGTTATCATATTATTTCTCAGCATCTTTGTTCTGTAAGTTTATAACTTTTAAACTTCTTTTTGCTGTACTTTTAGTGATGCTTCATGAAGAAATAGAGGTAAATGTATGCGTAAACACTATCCTTAAAAGAATTTGTTCATTCTGTCATTTGAATGGCATACGTGCCATGGGCCCAGTGCTCCTCTTGCTGCTGGAGGTACAGCAGTGCACAAAGCGGCATCCCTGCCCTCTGGAGTTTCAGTGCTAGTAGTGAAGACAGACACTGATCAAGATAAGTACAGGTATAGTATGTTAGGTAGTGGGGCGTGTTATGGAGAAAAATTAAAAAGAGACACGGTAGGAAATACTGTATGGAGAATTGTAATCTTTTTAGGTAGATGGCAATGGAAGCCTTCATTGTGGAGCCATTTGCGTAAAGGCCTTAAGAAATGAAGGACCTGACTGCACAGACATTTAGGGAAAGAACATCACAGGCAGGAAGGGGAGTCAGAGCAAAGGCCCTAGAGCAGCAGTGTGCCCAGCATGTTTGAGGGACAGCATGGCGGGATCCCACTGGACGTTGGCTTTTCTACCGACTGGTTGGAGGGTTTTGAGCAGAGGCAGGATGTGCTCTAACTAACCTTATTGATAACAGTCATGGTGGCTGCTGTATTGAGAATGGTGGTAGGGAGGGGCAGGGAAACCAGTTAGGAAGCTATTGCAATATTCCAAGCCACATGGAATTTGTGAGTGGTTGGATTCTGGATTTGCAAATGAATTGAGATGTGGGATATGAAACATTCAAGATTATTTTAAGGTTCATGGCTCCTGTGGGCTTCTGAAATTGTAGAACCTTGGTTTCACACAGGTAGTAGACAAGCCCATTAAATGAATACTTTGATAAAGAATAGCTACAGAAATACTTTAAGTAATTTTGCCTGACAAACCATAACTTTCTTTTCTTTTTTCTTTTTTTTTTTTTAAGCTCTTCACAGAATATGGTCGTCTGGCAATGGATGAAATTTTCCAAAAACCCTTTCAGGTAGAATGTTAATTATAAATGTCATTTATATCTTTATTTTAGTTCAGAGATCAGCAAACTGCAGCTCACAGGCCAAATCTGGCCAGTTGCCTATTTTTATATGACCTATGAGTTAGGAATGGTTTGTACATTTTTAAATGGTTGAAAGAAATGAAAAGCAGAATAATATTTTATGACATGTAAATTATCTGCAATTGAAATGTTAGTGTCTGTAACTAAAGTTTTATTAGAATGAAGCTATATTGTCCATGGCTGCTTTGTGCTACAACAGCCTAAAATATTTCCTCTCTGGCCATTTGCAGAAAAGGTTTACTGACCTGCTTTAGCTTATTTTTTCATGACGAGGGGAATGCATGGTAACCTCAATAAGATTAGAGGAGCTTTAAGTATTATTTGGTTTTCCTTTGTTGAAAAGTACTGTAGATCTGATGTATGACTGACTAGTGCCATGTTGTTTTCTCTCTTGACCTTTACTACATTCCCTATACTTGCCTTTAATACATACGTGTCTATAAGGTTTCTAAGACATACAGATCATTCCTTCAGCACATTTTCTTTGAAGAAGCTGGCATTTTTGCAAAGAAGTATGTCAATTGTTATTTTGAAAATGCATTTATGCAGCATTATAATAGGTACTGCTCTTTTCCAAAATAGACACTGATGTTTTTGGTTAGAGACTGGAGTTTCCCTTACGAATACAACTATGGACTACAGGGAGGAATGTCATTTTTGGAAAAGCGTCTACAGGTAAGTAAAAATAAAATAGGAGGAATCACCTAAAAGCAGTGATAACTTTCTCATTTGCCTTATCTCTCGTATTTCAAGCAGATCATGGGAAATTATATTAAGTGTGTTAAATACTTATGCCTATTAACACACACTAATATTAATGTTTTAGAGTAAAGAACCCAGGTATACAGTGCATAGGGATTGTAGAGAAGAGCTCTGTGCAAAAGCCCAAGCTTTGACTACAATTTCCACTTCATATTTTACATTGGATTCTTTTTTAAAAAAAATATTTATTTATTTTTAGAGAGGGGAAAGGAGGGAGAAAGAGAGAAACATCAATGTGTGGTTGCCTCTTGTGTGCCCCCTACTGGGGACCTGGCCCATAACCTAGGCATATGCCCTGACTGGGAATCAAACCAACGACCCTGTGGTTCTCAGGTTGGCATTCAATCCACTGACTCACACCAGCCAGGGCTACATTGGATTCTATATCTGCCTTTAGAATGTCACATTCAGAACTTTAGTCTGTTGTTCTTACTCAGAATTTTTGTTTTAGGATGAATATAAACAGACTTAGTTTGCATTTTTTCCAAAATGAAAACACAGAAGTCCTTTGTCAATTATTGCTACCTGGGTAGATCCTACTTCATGCCCACAAACCTGTTATTCTTCCTAAGTATCATGCAATACTCTTTAAAAAAGAAACTCTTTACTACCTATTCTTTGGTAGCTATAGGAGCTAAGCAATTGTTAATCAAATTTATGCATTCAATTGTTAGGATTCTGCATTTTCTCATTGGAAAAAACATAGGCCTCTACGACCCATCAGAGCTGGGAAGTCTTCTTTCTTTTGTTCTATTCTAGTGGTTCCTAGAAAAGAAAGACAAGTGGTCTTTTGTAAATTGTTGGTCTTCATTGGCAGGTGAAAGAACATCAACATGAAGAAATTCAGAATGTCCGAAATCACATCCACTCATGTTTCTCCAGTGTCACCTGCTTTCTTCTGCCACATCCAGGACTCCAGGTGGCCACAAGCCCTGAGTTTGATGGGAAATTGAAAGGTGTGTTATACATGATGTTATTTTAAACATGTGATTTGATCTTTGGAATTAAATAGTGACCAGAAAATGTCAATTAAGAATATAGTGAATGCTTAAGAGAAATAGTGTGTTCTCTTAGAAAGAGTAATAGAATCTGGTAGTCTCGTTCAGTTTTCACTCCTGCCTGCTGTGACGATCAGAATTAGCTTGGCTTAGTTTCTCTGTATGAAATGGTAATGGTAATATCCATTAATGATCTTTCTAAGAGACATACTATGATTATTGGTTTATCAAAGGTAAAAGTGCTTAGTAAAGGAAGACTACACATTAGTCAGCTAATATTTATCAAGTAAAGTTAACTTCCCAAGGAAAGATAACATGATGCATGGCATGGCTATTGTTTTCATTTTATTTGTGATTATAACAAAACCTGATGCTGAGTCACTTGTTAATATCAGGATGTGCTAACTAGATGGTAGCTTAAAGAAATCAGAATTGGCAGAGGGAAGGAGGGAGAGGAGTAATGGGGAAAGAAGGGGAAGGGTCAAGTCAAGGAACATGTATGAAGGACCGATGGACAAAGCCAAAATGAAGAAGGACTGAAGGTGGGAGTTGGGGGCGTATGGAGCAGGGGAAAGTGGTGGTGGGAAAATGGAGACAATTGTACTTGAACAATTAAAAAAAAAAAACAAAACAGAAATCAGAGTTGGGATTCCTGGGTTTCACTATCTTATTTTTGTTACTTATTCATGAGACCTTGAGCCACTTTATGGCTTGCCCTCAGTTTACCTCTGTGTTAGACTAAGCACTTTTGTTTATAAACTTACCTGAGCTTCTCAGGTTCCCAGTAGAAATAATAGTTGCCATTTTTATTAGCACCACACTCTAACCAACTGAGCTAACCGGCCGGTACTAGTTGCCATTTTTAGATGCCCAGTCGTGTTCCCAACTATCTTAGTCTGGGCTGCTATAACAAAACACCGTAGCTTATAAACAATGGAAATTTGTTTCTTGTTCTGGAGGCTGGCAGTCCAAGATCAGTGTGCCAGCATGGTGGGTTAAGGGTTATCTTCCTGGTCTCAAGAGTTCCGGTTGTTTCATTACCTGATGGCAGGCGTTAGGGAGCTCTGCGGGATCTCTTTTATGAGTGTACTAATCCCATTCATGAGGGCTCCACCCTCATGACCTAATCACCTCCCGGAGGCCCACCTGCTAATACCACCACCTTTAAGGGTTAGAATTTTAACATGAATTTGGGGGTGTGGGCACACAAACACTCAGATCATAGCACCAACACTCTGCTAATTACTTTCATACTTGATGCTTCCACAGAGCTGACACAGATGAAGAACCTGGTTTAGGAAAGTTAAGTAACTTGCTCAAAGTACCCAGCTATAGGGTGGGGCAGAGATTCACATCCAGATCTTTCTTGCCCCAAATCCATACTATGTTAAAACAGAAGGACTATTTGGGAAGTAATTTAGAGAATATATACTATTTAGTTACCAGGATAACTTAACTCAGTTGATCCAATAAAGTTAATGTACTTACTTGTTCAGCTTAAGATTTACATTCCAGCTGATTGTAATTTTGCAAAAGAAACCGAGTTTGAGTGACTTAGCTTTACCTTCTGTTTGTCACTTGCATGATATTTTTATGTGGCGGCAGCTTCCTGAGCAGAAGACTTCTGAGCTATTAGGTGGCAGTTCAAAAGTCCAAGTTTGGGGCTGGCTTTGGAGAAAAAAGGAACCTGAAGTTTTTCAATGGAGATTTTTATGGTCCATTATGGTTGGACTAGTTTCTTTAGTATATGCAAGCAAGTGAATCTGTGCAATAGAAAAGTACACTGTTTTATACTTTTCATTCCAAGGTTATAAAGAATTTATCCCACTTTTTTTTTAAAGTTAATTTGCAGTTTCATTTTGACATTATAATTTATGATCCAGTTTGGATCCAACTTATTTTCTGAATGGCCACCCCTATTTACATGGAAATTGATACCTATTTACTTAAGACATATAAAAATTAAAAGAAAATTGTTTTTTCATGTCAGGAGCTCTGTTATTTAAGATGGGCTGGGGAAAATCAGTGAAAATAAGAAGTATATGCTACTATTTAGAGAATGTAGATTTCAACTTGTGAGCCATAAATAAATTCTAGGTAGATTAAAGAGTTAAATTATGAAAATTAAAGCATGGGAAGAACTATACTTTGTAAACAGTATATACGTGACCTTAAATCCAATTTGACAATCCCACTTCTTTTAATGGGTGAGTTTAGTTCATTTTCTGGCTCCTGGTATGTTTGGTTTTAGAGCTGTCATCCTGCTCTTTAGTTTCTATTTTGCTCTTTCTATGCTTTTCCCCGTTTATCATTTGTTTTAATGGAGTTTGTTTTCTTATTCCAATCTCCCAACTTCCCCCTACTAGTACTGAAGTTATCCACTCCATCCTTTTAGTTGTTCTCTTTGAAATTTTACCACACATACTTATTCAAAATATAAATAAATACATTAATCTCTTTCCTAAGTAATACCAGAGCTTTAGAACAATTTAACTCTGATTACCTTCCGCCAATAGTGTTTTAGCTTTGTCTTCTTTATAACCTCACCAATTAACTATCATTATTATTATATAAGAATATTTGTTTAACTTTTCTTACATGCTCATTGGTTTCTTTACTCACCTTTCCTTCTTGTACCGTAGACCTTCCTTCTGGAACCATTTCCTTTGCTGTGCTATAATTTTACTGTTCTGTATGTATTTCTTTTTAACCTACTTGTTATATCCTGTGGTTTCTGAAGCTGTGGATTCATTTATTTCATCAGTGCTAGGGAATTCTCAGCCATTATCCCTTGTATTATTGCCTCTAACTCACTCCTTTCTTCTAGGACTCCAGTTGGATATGCGTTAGATCTTCTCATTCTACCTCCCAGTTATCCATACTGCTTTTTGGGTACATTATTCAGATCTATTTTATCCTCAAGAGAAAAGATTAGTGTTTGCTCCTTCAGGGAGGTAGGGCCTTACCAACCTGGGACTATTCTGTCCTCTTCTGGGATCCAGCTTAGTTTAGGAGTTTACTTTGCCAAAAATTTAGTCACCCTGCGCAGTGAATATTCTCAAAGGAGCCACGAGCCACAGCTTCACGTGTTCTGAGCTCACCACTCTGGTTCAGCTCACACCCCTGCCCCCTGCTCAGTCCCTTCCTTTCAGCTCTCTTACTTCCCAGTTCATCAGGATCTTGTTAGGAAGAAGGGCCCTTCAGATTCTCTTGTCTATAGTCAGAATCAGAAGTCCCAAGACACTATTTTTCACCAATCAATTTTAAAAACAGTAAAAATCTACAGTGTGTTGAGAATAGTAAACATGCCTTCTCAGTACATTGGTGAATACAAATGGGTACAGTCTTTCACAAAAACAATTGGGCAGTATATAAGGGAATGGGGATATTTTAGATGTTAATTGTGATTATCTGATGGTGAGCTTTATAGATTTTTAAAAATAGTTTTGAATGTTTCTCAGGAATCTACATTGTCCTTTTAATATCGAGTCATCCCTCTTAGAGGGTCATATAATCTAAGGAAAAAAGGAACCTGAAGTTTTTCAATGGAGATTTTTATGGTAATATTTGTAGTTAGAACCATTTAGAAACCACTGCTGTTTTATTTGCTGCTCTATGCCCAATTCTTACAATGATGCCTGCCTTAAAAGTGCTCAAAACTGTTGAATGAATAAATGAGATATGAATGTCTCAATTTTATAAATTAGAGTTATGGAGTGTTGATGAGTTCCTACCTTGCTGTGGATTTCTACCCACTTTCTTTTCCTTTGAGTTAGCTGGAAACTGAGGAAGATGTTGGACTATATAGGTCAGATTCCTTGTGTCTTCATAGTTGAACCAGCTAGTTCTCACCTCAAGGAAAGTGCTCTCTACTTACTGGCTCTCCTGAGTCCTCTGTGGGGACTGTAGAAGCTTCAAAGAAGCTGTTGCCTTTCCGAGATGGGGGTCTTTTCCTTTGGGGTGGCCCAGGGGCCTCTCTGAGGAGATGACAGGAAACAGTATCATGAAGTACAGTGGGTTCTACTTCTTTTAACATTAAAAAATGAACCAAGAAGGAAAGGAAGGAGAGAAAGAAGAAAGGAATGGATGAACAGTGATTTCTAATGGATTTTAGGGGAGCATGAGGGTGCAGCAAGGGCCTGCCCTAAGAGACCTTGAGGGGTTGATAATTGATTTTTTGAAGACCTCGTTAATGAAATTCTTTAAGAAGTTAAATTTCTTGAAAGGTTAGAGAGTAGACTTGAACCTCCCAGGATGAAAACCAAGGTAAGGACGTTCTGAATATTCTTTTGTGGACTAGGAAGGACATAATACTGCAGGTAGGAAGGAGGCGATAAAGGCACAGAAGAGCAGAAACTTGACTGCTCTGGCCACAGCCGGAAAGCGGCTGGGATCCCCGCCCTTCACTTTGAACGAGTATACGCTAAAACAATTAGGGAGACCTTGGAGATTGTGTGTTATGCTCACCTTGGTTGAACGATCTGTTTGGCTTATTGCTTCCTTCCTTATGGTCCTGTGAACAGATATTGCCAGTGAATTCAAAGAGCAGTTACAGATACTGATTCCGTATATATTAAACCCAGCGAATTTAATGGAAAAGGAGATCAATGGCTCAAAAGTCACCTGCCGAGGGCTCTTGGAGTATTTTAAGGTAATTATGGGTTTTAATTATTAAAATGTTTGACTTTCGGCAAAACTGCTGTGGGTTGTACACTATCTTGCATTTCAGTATTTTAAAGCTTAGGGGAAAGTTTACTGGCGGGAAATGGTGCGAAGAATTTTCAGGCTTCAGTGTCCTTCCCAGAACAGACCACAGGGTGGCAGTATTGGTCTGAGAATCAAATGGGCGTTCTTTGCGCTGTCTTAGAGGAGTGATTACTGTGACTAAAGGAAGATGGTTCCTCAGGCAAGATGGTGTGGACAGGAGGTGGTTAGGAAGTTGCTGTGAACAGGAAGAGGTGGCACCTAGATGTGACACGACTACTCCAGGTGGATGGCCACTCTGCCCACAGGAGCGGTGAGGCCAGTGTGCATGGGGAGCCTGGCGGGAATCTCAGCCTTGGTAGGCTTGTGCTGCCTCAGAATGTTTCAGTTAACTAAAAATGCTAACATGCACTCAAAAGTGTGTTGTGTTTTTTGCTAATTCCTGGGTGTTGATTTATGTCTTGAGGCAAATACAGTTTTTTGGTTACTCCTTCTACAAATTAAAAGTATAATTAATTAAAACAATAACATTTGGTAATTGTTTTTATGTTTACATTTTAAGGCATATATTAAAATTTACCAAGGAGAAGATCTGCCTCACCCCAAATCCATGCTTCAGGTATGCAGTTCTTGGACATCCTAAGTGATAGCCTTTGATTGCGTGAGTTGATCCGGATCCAAAGGCAGCCCTTTGAGAAGACAGTGCTGTTGCTCTGCTTCCCCATTATGCTGAGCTCTGTTCTTTTTCAGCATAGTTTTCAGCAGTGTGGCTGCCTTCCAGTTTTCTTGTCTGTATTCTTGGTGGTTCAGCTTAAAGAGAACGGCCTCTCACTGGGCCTGGTCTTCCCACCAAACATACTGTGAAAACGCTGTTTTATTATTCCCAGGTAAAACATCCCCAGTTACGTGAGACAGATCACTTTTCTGTTATCTGTTGTCTGCTTTAGTAGAACATGTCCTGATGTGTCTATTATGTGTCTATTTACAATTGACTCATCAGGTTTTTTATTTTCAACTAGTTTTATTTTCAACATTTCGTATTTTCAAAGTGTCGTTTGGTTAAAACATGACTTCTGACTTCTATGTGCTGAACATAATTTCATTTATTGCCAAACATTTATTCCTTTAGTAGGAAAAACATTTTTATTCAGAAAGCTAGAGTTTGGGATTCACGTTGAAAAGATAATTTGTTTCCCATCTTTTTTGACTTGAATCTTTTTTTTAACATTTAAAATTGAAGCAAAGGAAGTGATTTTTCAGATGTTTAGGTTATAATAAAGATTCTTACGTATGAGAACATTTTTGGCAGAAAAGGTATATTTTATTTCATAAATCAGGTTATATGGAAACCTAAAAAATAGCAGGATAACAAAAAAGGAAGAATGGTGAATAAGGTGAGAGAAAAATTTTACATGGTTATTTGTAGAAGAATGTTAAAAGAGGAAGGACTTACAGCTTATGCTTTCCTTTCTCAAAAGGCCACTGCTGAAGCCAACAATTTAGCAGCTGCAGCCTCTGCCAAGGACATTTACTACAACAGCATGGAAGAGGTACGTTGGGTCTGTGTCTTACTCTGAAATGTCTACAGTCTGGACATTGTGGCTGACCTCAGAAGCCCAAACTCGATCCTGTTTACTGTGTTGTAAGATGATGAGGCAACAAGCTGTGTGCACTCAGTCACCCTGGTAACTAGGGCCCTGTGTTGGCATTTCTGACCAAGGACCTCTTGCCTGTCATGGCTTTCCCCCAGCATGGCATGACCCTGGAATTCAAGTGTTCTTTCAGAGGCAGCGAACCTAGACTTTATTGGTCTTGATCATCATTATAAAGTTAATTTCTAGTATCTTAAGATATTCTAAACTTTTCAGTGTTTTCACTTTTTAAATTTTATTTGGCACTTGTTTTTGAAGGAATCTTCAACACATTGTGTCTTTGGTATTTTTAGGTGTGTGGGGGAGAGAAACCTTACTTGTCTCCAGACATTCTAGAGGAGAGGCACTGTGAATTCAGACAACTTGCTCTTGACCATTTTAAGAAGACCAAGAAGATGGGTGGGAAGGATTTTAGCCTTCGTTACCAGCAGGAGCTGGAGGAGGAAATCAAGGAACTCTATGAGAACTTTTGCAAGCACAATGGTAGCAAGAACATCTTTAGCACCTTCCGAACCCCAGCTGTGCTCTTCACGGGCATCGTGGCTTTGTACATAGCCTCGGGCCTCACTGGCTTTATCGGGCTGGAGGTTGTGGCCCAGCTGTTCAACTGTATGGTTGGACTACTGTTAATAGCGCTTCTCACCTGGGGCTACATCCGGTATTCTGGTCAGTATCGTGAGCTGGGCGGAGCTATCGACTCTGGAGCAGCCTATGTGTTAGAGCAGGTAAGTGGTGCCAGCTGTGGAGTCTGAGTGTGACAAGGGATGGACGTTTGTGTTTCTATTATAAAATATCTCCTTTTGGAAGAGCTTCCTAGTGAAAGAAGGCATGAGAAACTTCCCCTGGCTATTTTTGTTTCTGATAAGCATTATGTTTTAGTATCCTTCTTTAGGATATTAATATTTAAATTTGATATTTTGTTTTCATGCTTAATGATTACCTTTGAATTCAAAAATGTTCCAATTTAGACAATTCCTGTGTGATTCTTTCCCTCAGCCAAGCTTAATTTGTTTTACTGAAAATCAAGAGCTTTGAAAAATATGAACTTGACAAAATTTTTTCTTTTGAATCCTGTTAATAAATGGCATTTCTGTCACTTAAAGTATTCCTCAAAGCCGGGGACTTTTGACACTAGCATGATGTCTAGGTTTATAGATCCTTGCAACTCTGATTGGCTTCTTTTTCTGAGTAGCATGAACACTTCAGTTAATGAGTGTGGTGAATGAAGCCTGGGGAGGTGCCCATTTCACCCCAATAACAGAAGGGGCTCGGCTAGCTCTTGGGAGGTAGCTTCTGCCACAGGCTCCCCTCCCTCATACTTTCATTTCCCTATTTTCTGTAACATGATGATGATAACAGACAAATTTTTGAAAGCGTACTTCCAAGGACATATCCTCTCGATGCTGGGCTGTATTTTCTCAACTTATGTGCTGAATCATGAACTTTTGCAGGCTACTTCTCATCTTGGCAATTCCACTCAGGCTGCTGTGAGGGATGCAGTTGTTGGAAGACACCCCATGGATAAAAAAGCTCAGTAGCATCTTAAGAGGATTCATGAAGAAGCTGACCAACTCCTACTGATTTCTGGGTTTCTGCTGCAGCCACAGGTCCAGGTCCAGAGGAATATAGGTCTGGGACCATCCAGGAAGAGCTGACACATGGCACCCATAAATGAAGAGGCCTTCCCTGTGGTTCCAAATTCTTAAACACACTTCCATTTCTGTTGGAAGCATTCCTTTTCCTTGCTGATAATATAAATCCAAGCCTCTGTCTGTTTTCTTATTACTCTCTGCTTTGTGCACTTTATGGGGGGAAAGCTAAAGGAAAAAACGGAAATGCAGTTTTAAGTCCTTTCTGTGCCACTTAGTGCCTTTGAAAATGGAATCCGTGCTTCTGCAGGCTTGGTGGGGAGGGTCAGAGGACAGCCTCACAAATGGTGCGATTGGGGTGAAACTTGCCAGTGCTTTTATGCCTACTCTATTGAGAAGGATTCCTGTTTTGAAAAGTTTACAAAACTTGCAAAAGCTTCAGAACTAAAGACTGAACATGATGTCATTACACTTTTAAAATATTGTAATATTAGAGACCCCTGTCTGCCACATAGTGTGGGAGAATCATACCATGTTTAAATCTACCATTCATTGAAATTTACCTGACAGGCTGTCAGTTTTGTTCGAACTTTTTTTTTTTTTTTTTTTTTTTTTGCCTTTATGTCTATAGCTTCTTTCTAGAAAAGAGCGAACATGCCTTGAAAAGCCAGAGAGGCTCATAGCAAAAGGAATGAGCTTGAAAATTTCAGAAAAAAGCTAGAGTTTAAGTGAACCGTGTGACTTCTTGTAAGTCACTTGAACTTGTGCCTTGGTCAGACTCACTTTTGTGGGTTTATGTTCCTGCATGTATTATGCACTACTCACACACAATTGCCATTTGGGAGGTTTTGTTTTTGAGAGTTCTGTGTGAGAGCAAAACATAATTGCAAATTTGAGGAAAGACATTACCAGATGTCACTGCCTTTAAGTGATGTCCTATTTCACATGATTTAGCAGTAAATCAGGTCATTATCCAAAATGTTTATTTGCATTCTCCTATGCACTAATGTTTTTAATAATGGAGCTAAAAATGTCAATTTTATTTAGTGGGTCTTCCTTTATTTAACTTTACTTGACCTGTCTGCCAGCTTTAAAATAGCTTTGGCTTAGTAAGGACCAAAGCCCCACCCAAATAAAGACACTATCTAGAACTATCTAAGAATTCTTTTTTATTTACCTTGATTGTGTGATAAATTTTTTTTATCTTAGTTGCCTTTTCCTTTGATTTATAATGGTGAATTATTGTGGGTTTTAAAACTTCTAAAAATTGCCTGCAAATACTTAAATAAACATTCAGGTGTATGAGCCTTAATTCTGAAGATAATTTAATTTTTGTGAGAGGGAGATAGGAAGACTGAGGCAAAATCCAAGTGAATTGTGTATATACGAAGTATGAATGGAAGGTGGAAAAAAGTTTCTTCTAGCATATAATCTATTAAGTAATTTTTTGACTACTTTAACACTTTATCATTCAAGTATTTTTTATAAGTCCTGAATTCCAAGCGTTTTGTATTTTTTCATATTTGCATACCATCTTGCTCTGAAGTTCTTGCTGTTTTATTCACTTGCCATTAAATTTTAGAAAAATTCCAGTTCTAAAACCTACTTGCATATCAGTGATGCCTAGCTTTGACTGTTAAATCCAAAGTGTAGTTTTGAAACTTTAGTGGATTTTCAAGTGGTCTCTCATTTTCCTGAAGGTTCATGCTTAGTACATAAAGGCTTTACAGATGTTAATTAAAAACAAAGCTACAAAGTCCCTAGAGTTCAAATTGAAAACATCAGTGATGGATGATGTTTTGCTAGAACTAAATTGCTGATATTGGGTTTAATAAACCTACTGTTTTCATGTTTTACTTTTTGCTTAAAAAAAGTCTTACGGATGCTGAGATACTTAGCTTGTAATGCATTTTTATAAGAATATTTATAGATTTCAGAACAATTGTCTAATTTGGTCCCACTTTTAATGGTGAGAAAAGGATGATGTGTCTAAAACTTATTTTAATACTAAAGTATTAGATTTTTTAAAGTAAAAAAACATGATAATGTATTATTTAATGAAATCTTAGGATTTATTTACTCTTTAAATTCACCATTTCTGTTTTGATCTTAAAGGAATACTTTGATTTAATTACCCCGGGAAGCCTTCACTGTTTTTGGTCTTTATTAACATATTCTGCCTCTGAAAAGTGTTTAAAAAGTTTTCTCAGTGAGGATTCTTACGACTTTTCTTTGGCCTCTTTTCTCTCTTAACAGTGAATGATGATTTTATATCAGCTTTTTCAGTGAAAGGTGCATTCTCATTGCTGGCCTACATAGTCCTGGGGAGATTTATAACTCGGTTGAAAAAAATGCCTGTTACCTCTCACCTTCCCTTGGCCTTTGCCTTGACATTACTTAGGAGCCCAGACTCTTGTTGGCTTAGTTTGCTGCTCTGCTTCTCCTGGCCAGCGACCCCACACAGCATTCTCTATTTGCACATTCCTGACAGTACGTCGATGCACTCCTATTAACATGTGAAAGGAGGGTTTCACAATTTTTATTGAAAGAACTCATTTCAGGAGAGGTTAAATTTTTTTTAATCCAATTAGCTTAGAGTAAAAATAAAAGAATAAACATTTTGAGTCTTTCACTGAGAAATCTTTCTAGATTTGTTTGTAGACAAAAATGAGGGCAGATTATCCTGTTATCATGTGTGATGATACATCTTCAGTCTCGTTCTTTGTTTGCAGAATACTGAGAAGTCATCTGTTCCATGCATGCTTATATATTAACACCTGCTTTACACTTGGTAAAATTGCCTGTGAATATTGTTTTTGCTTTACCTGCTACTCCTGTTTTAGTTTCCACAAAGTAAAATGCTTTGGACAAATGACCAAGATGCCTTGTGTTGGCAGCGTGTTCCTTTAGCAGTCATGCCCAGTGTGCCCACTGGCTTATAGAAGTGGTGTCTCAGGTCGGGAAGTTTGGATGAGCACACATGTATGTATGAGTTAGGGAGAATTTGAGTAAATTGATTTAAGTTCAGGCAAAAGCGATAAAAAGCTTTTATATTTTCCAAAATTTTTTTTTTTTTTTTGGTAAACAATATAACTTACATGGAAGTCTTGTGGAACTTTTTTTTAACCCTGTAGAACTATTGAAATTAATTTAGGATGGGCCTGCATCATGCCGGCTTACATTTAGATCCAACAAAATTTTAGTGAAGGAAAAAAGGCACAATGAAGACAAACTTCTGTTACGAAAGTACAATCTATTTGTGTACGTGGTTTTTTAACATGACATTAAGTACCCCATTGTAAAAGACCATTTGCAGTTGGATAGTTTTTTCTTACGTTAAATCATACTGTAGCTGTGTTTTGGGTAGTAGTTCTTATCTACCCTGGAATGCATGAAATTTACCTGGGATTCTGCTTTTAAAAAAGTTCAAATTACCAGCTTTATACCAAGGGGTTGCCGCAGTGGGTCTGGGCTGTGGCCCCAGAATCACCACTCATACAAACAGTATTGCTGGTGGTTCAGAAACAGCCCAAGAGAGACCGCACTGGAGGGCGGGGAAGTGCAATTCAGGACGGCCCTGGGGAAAGTGGGCGGCTTTTGCCAGATAAAGTCACTGAGAGTTTACAGTGCTCAGAATAGTAAGGGTGCCTGTAACCTAGAGGATTCTCTAAAGCTGTTTTTCAAAATTAGGATATCGTAGTGCCTTCTCTGGAAAATGAATGTACAAGTATCCTTTTTACTAGCAGGTGTAATTAGGATTAAAAAAAAAAAAAAAACTTTTGAAAGTTGTGTTTCTTTTTTAAAAAACAGAATTCAGCGCTGTGACTTGAACCCCTAAGTCATGCACAGAAAACGTTAAGCCATAAATCAGAATAATGAACAAAAAGGAAGAAGAGGATCATAGCTTTGAAATTAACAAAAATAAGCCACATTAGGAACTTGCAAAACAGATCTAGGGGAAGCAGGATTTGAAAAATTTTTTATGTGCCAGACTAAAATTCAAAAGTAGTGTTCTTGTGACCAAGGGAAGGTTGGGTTTAATTCCTAAAGCTTTCCAATTTAGATGAATAAGTGCTGTCATGGACTAAAGCCTTAAAGGAGTTAATGTTAATCTTGAATACATACAGTTTTTCTGCTCAGATTTCTTTAAAAGTGACTTGTTCCCCTGGCCAGATGGCTCAGTTGGTTGGAGCATTGTCATGATATGCCAAAGTTGCAGGTTCGATCCCTGGTCAGGGCACATACAAGAATCAACCAATGAATGCATATATAAGTGGAACAACAAATTGTTGTCTCTCTCTGTCTCTCTTCCTCTCTGTCTCTCTCTCATCAATAAATTTTTAAAAAATGACTTGTTAAAAATACTTTGTCCTATACCCTTTAAAATGGCTTTAAAATTTAATATACTTTTAAAAAGTGCAATAGGATGCGATTATGCTATTAGTACATTAAAAGCATGTTTCCATTTCTTAGTTATAAGGTCATTTAATGGAATAAAGATCACAGCATCATGTCTGTGTGTGTCTGTATTTATTTATTTTTTCCTTTAATATGGAAAGATCCGTGAAACAGGTTTGGTTAGCAAAGTGAATAGGATATCCAAGAAGATGATAACTCAGTGTCAAATGTAGTGGTAGTGTGGTTTGAGTGAGTCAGCTTTCTCTTACTAGTGTAGTGCTGGAGAAGGCTGTGGTGTTTCTTGCAATCAAATACAAATTTTATTTATAGTATGTAACATGCAACTTCTGAGGACCTTTTGAGTTTGTGGCTCTTTGATTTGATAGTCCCACTTGGATCCAATTGGTTAAATGGTTTCTCTTTGGGGTGGGGTGAGGGAAAGCTACCGAAAGCTTTCCCTTTTCTCGGCTACCTTGGAGGCAGTGGGGAGGTTGCTTTGAACATCTCATGTATTGACCAATCACTAGATCTGCCCTAGTCCGCCCTACAGTAAAAAAGATAGCTTCCCTAGTCTGAAACACCCTGGGGCGAGTGGCTTCCATCCATCCATCCATTCGCCCCTGGTGGTCATACGTCAGGTGCCATGCTAGGTGGTGCGCTGACAGTTAAGTGGAAGGGGCGGACCCGTAGGTGGTGCGATTTGAAGGGTATGGTGAAAACTCGGGTGCTACCATCAGTGCTGATGCTCGCACCACTATGAGCTGGGGAGATGGAAAGATCAAGGTGGGGAAAGTGGCCTTGTGTGGATGGATGGGGAGAGATCAAGCAAACTGGCTTGTTTTTGCCACACTGACATTCTTGCCTTTGATAACCATATACCAGATTCCCAAGAATAAGTCCAACTGATTTAAATTTTTTAAAGGTTGTATTTGTTTATTTTAAGAGAGAGGGGAAGGGAGGGAGAGAGAAACATCCGTGTGAGAGAGAGAACAGTGGGCGGTTGCCTCTCATATGCACCCAGCTCAGGCACATGTCCTGGCTGGGAATCAAACCAGCGACCTTTCAGTTTGCAGTCCGGCACTCAGTCCACTGAGCCACACCAGCCAGAGAGGACTTACATTTTTTAAAAAGGGATGGTAACTGGGAAAATGTTTCTTGTAACTAGATGTCTAGGAGTAAAAATGACATAAGGTGCTGGAAGGAATCAAATGTCAACAGGCTGTTTTCTCAAGTCTGCAGTGGCGGAATCATCTGTTCTGACAGAAAGATTTCCCTTGTGCTGCAGGGGAGGCAGGCGCAAGTGGTTCCAGGCTTACATCATCCCACTGTTATATCCCCAGAGGATAGACACTGTTTTTTTGACCCACTGCCTATTTAAAAATATGTGTGTGTGTGTATATATATATAGCTTCGTCCTAGAGAAAGCTTCCGATTGGTCTGCCTTGGGGCATATGTTCCTTCCAGGGCCAATCACTAGCCTGGGGGCTTGGGCACAATAACCAGCCAGATGTAGGTCACGGGTCTCTAGTCAGGGTGTTAGGGTAATGTGATTGGCAGCTCCACCAGAACCCCATAGTCACCAAATGAAAGACCCCTGGACAGACAAAAAGCAATGTCCACAACAGCTACCAGTTCCCTGGACTGGTCATTTAACAAACAGCAGAATGAGAGAGTCTGGAACATTTCAGGAACATTCTAAGGGGAAGTAGAAGGGGTTTTGCGGAACACTTAATGCAGTAGTTCTTGAGGGTCTCTCAACAGGGATTTGCTCATGCCTCTCAGTAGGACCTGAGGGGTTTCAGAGATGGGGGTGTTCAGGAGGAAGTTATATTTCATTTTCCTTTTCTTTCAGAAAAGTCTGATTTTTTTCTCTTCAGAGCAAACGTGTTCACAAAGCCTCACCAAAGTAGCCTGGGCACTTGTGAAAAGCCGGTCCGGGCAGCTGACAGAGCACCTTTCCCCGAGGAGCTCCCATTTTGAGAGTTGCTGTTAAGCAACAGAAACCCGCATGTTATTACGAAATGCACCCATGGTTCTGCTCCTTGTGTGTAAATGAGCATCTCAGCCTCCCCTACTCTTTTTTTTTTAAAGATTTTATTGATTTATTTTAGAGAGAGGGGAAGGGAGGGGGAAAAAGAGAGAGAAAGATCGATGTGAGAAAGAAACATTCGTTGGTTGCCTCTCGCTTGCACCCCAACCCGGTGGGGGTGTCGAGGCCTGCAACCCAGGCGTGAGCCCTGACCAGGAGTCGGAACAACGCTCAACCCACTGAGCCACGCCGGCCAGGGCTACAGCGTCCCTTTAATGCTACAGTTGCCTGCCCCCTCTCCCCAAGCCCCCTTTCTTCTGTCCTGGCCTGGCTTCCTCCACTCTCAGCTACCGGCTCAGAATCCCTACACGGCATTTAGCTTTGTGCCATTTCCTCCCACTTTCTCAGATACTTCTTCCTCGGAGACTCAGCAAAGCCATGATTTCCCGTGGAGGAATCATCCTCTTCCTCTGAAGGCAGAGAGGGGAGAGGTTGCAAACAATTAAAAGTTAATACATTCCTCTGTCATGGGGTTCCTATGACAGAGCCCTGGTTGCTATGGTTGCAGAAAAGACTATAAAGCTATTCGAGGCTATGTAACTATGGTTGCAGAGAAGACTGGAGACTTCAGAGGCAGGCGACAGTTGGATGCTGGCATGGTCGTCCACCCGCAGGGTGGGGATGTTGTGAAATGGGGTTAAGGACGATCCTGCTGATGGTGCTGGCCCCGTGTGGTAGCTCCTCAGGCCCCGGGCCTTTCTTACAGAGCTTGTCTTTTGAGAGCTGCTTGAAAGGTAACAATATATTGGGTTGGCCAAAAAGTTCGTTTAGTTTTTTTTGTAGGATGGCTCTAGTAGTGCTTAGTTAAGTTGTCTTCAACTTAATTTGAAACAATGTTGTTAGATTGCATTGTGACAGCTGTCAAATTAGTATGCATTTAAACTTACCAAAACTGGTAAATTTGTGCAGCCATTTTAATATTGAAAATGGAAGAAATACGCAACATTTTCGGCATGTTATGCTTTATTATTTCAAGAAAGGGAAAAACACAATTGAAACGAGTGTATGGAGAAGGTGCTGTGACTGATGGAACATGTCAAAAATGGTTTGTGAAGTTTCTTGGTACTATTGACATTTTGGCCAAATAATTCTTTGCTGTGGGGCTGTCTTATGCATTGGAAGATGTTTAGCAGAACCCCTGGCCTCTACCCAGTAGAAGCCAATAGTGGGAGATAGCTGCCATACTCAAATATCCAAATCAATAAAGTTATGGGTGAAAATGAAAATTGTGTCTTTTACAGAAAAAAGCTAAATGGAGTTTTTGGCCAACCCTGCCATCTCTACCCCTCTCGATGCTTTTTGTTTTTCTTGGCACAGAAACAGGACAAGAAAGGGCGGGGGGGGAAAGGAGGGGATGTGACATTTGAGCAAAATTGAAGTGCTCCATCCTGGGTTTGGATAACTTTACAACTGGTCACTTGCTCAGTGTGCACGTCCCGTTGCTGGGTGTGTAGTCGTGCACAGAAGGCTCTGGTGTTGACTTCTGTTGCCTCTGACTCTCCCTGGCAGGAAGCCGGAGAGTACTGTGCAATGCTGATGAGTGCATGCGTTTCCTCATGTTAATGAGGCAGTTCACCACATTCCTGACATGGGGCTCGGCGCCTTATAAGATCGTTCCATTTTTGGCTCTCCTTTTGGGAGTTTTTATTTTTTGATTATTTTTAAAAGATTTTCTTTATTTTCAGAGAGAGGAGAAGGGAGGGAGAAAGACAGGGAGAGAAACATCGATGTTTGAGAGAAACATCCATCGGTTGCCTCTTGCTCGCCCCCAGCGGGGGACCTGGCCCCCAACCCAGGCATGTGCCCTGCCAGGGAATGAATTAGTGACCTTCTGGGTCTCAGGCTGGTGCTTAATCCACTGAGCCACACCAGCCAGGGCTCCCTTTGGGGAATGTAGTTTTATATATCATCTTACATGTTGTATGTACGGTGTCATCGTTACTCCATTTTACAGATGAACAAACTGAGGCTCACAGAGGGCAGGGTGCCTGGATCCTATAGCTAGCAAGTGACAGGGCCAGTGTTTGGCCTAAGCATCCTGACTGCAAAGCTCACTGCTGGCTGGGAGTGGGGGGAACAGGGAGAGGACAGGGGCTGTTTCTACTCTTGTGGAGTCACAGCCCGATCATTCATTCATTCATACATGGGATACCTGCTGTGTGCCAGCGTTCGGGGGATAGCTAACGGCTTAAGACCCAGCAGTTAAGGCCCTGGCCTGGTAGCTCAGTTGGTTAGAGCATCGGCTTGATATGCCAAGGTTTCGGGTTCCATCCCTGTCAGGGTACATGCAGGAAGCAACCAGTAAGTAGTATTAATAAGAAATATATCAAAGTGATGTTTTTCTCTCTGTAAAAATAAGCAAACAAGACCCAATAGTTAAAGGTACTTTGATTCTGCGAGACCCTCGTCTTCTAATGCCTTTAAAATTTAATATGGTTTTAAACTGTAAGCCCCCTCTAGTGGAGAAAGTTAAGCCGCTTACACTTCAGTGCGGTGTGTACAGGGGCCAAGCCTACGTTCTTGAACGTAGGGCGGCCGCGTAGACGAGGTGCGGAGGCAATAGCCCTGGAGCGGGTTCCGCGGGGAGGCGCCTGGTGCGTGGGAGGCCTCCGGGCCTGTCCCAGTTGCCGGTTCTGCGAAGCTCTCATTAGCCAGTGACACGGGGAGGGGCCAGGTGACCTCACGCAAGCCGGACTCGGTGGCCTTAAAATCCGGCCTCTTCGCAACTGCGATCCCTACTGCTTCCCAGATTCGCGAGGTGGGTGAAGGGGTTCTTCCCAGGACTGAAGGAAGAGTGAGATGCTGGGGGTGGCCCTCCCGGTCCGGGGCGCGGTGCGGGAGACGTGGGAGTCGGAGAAGTTGGGTGACGCGAGAGGAAACTAGTTCGGGAGCGGCTGCCGCCTCCTGGCACCGCCGGCCGGGAGGGGCCGCCGACTGTCACCGGCGGGGCGGCGCCCCTGGCCGGCGACTCTCACAGCGCTCCCCGCAGCTGCGCCCCCGCCTCTGGGGTGTCTGGTGAACCTCCCCTGCCCCCATCAAGGGGTTCGTCCCGTCACAGCCTCAGGCAGGACACGGAGAGGGCAAGGGAGGGGTCCGGCTGCTCCCGGAGGGATTGGAGACCAACCTCCTGGTCTCCTTGCCAGAAGCCACCGTCCCCTGGGGTCTTGGGGACGCTACTATCTGTTAATGACTTAATGAACCCCTCCTCTCCCTGCCTCAGGCATTTACTCAGCTGATAAGGCAAGCTCCCGCCTGAAATTGAGGGTCCACAGCAGGAAAGAAGATGCGGGCGCCCATCGTAAGTGTGGGGCGCCCATTGTAAATGTGGGGCGCCCATTTTAAGCGTGGGGCGGGCACGGACTGGGGCTGCGGGCCGTGTGTTTGCGGTGGCTCATCCTGGAGCCAGAGTTATCAGGGCAGAGGGAGGATCCTTGAGGATGTGGGGCCACACTTGTATTTGTCCTGATGGCAGATGTGGGGCAGCAGGCACCTGCTGGAGTGGCCTAGGTACTCGAACTTCCTCGGGCAGGTGTAAAACCAACCCCCATCCTCGAAAGGCAAGACCTGCAGGAAGAGGTGGCAGAGAGGTACATACACCTGACTCTACAGAGGTCCCCTGCTGCCTTCCTGAGCCAGACCAGAACACCTGGACTGGCTTCTGGGGCCGAGGGAGGGGCTGGCCCGGCTGCCCCTGCTACCCCAGGCTCCACTGGGGGTCTGATCACAGTGGTTTTTTCTGGTCTCAGCTCATGCATGTCCTGACTCGCCCTGTCATCCGTTTCCGAGCTTTCACTTTCCATTCTTACAAACTGTGATGTGATTCAGAAATTGTAAAGGGGCCAGCCAAGGCTTCCTTTCGGCTTGGCACTTCTGGATGCAGAGAGGTTCAGAGAGCTGGCTGCTGCGGTAGGCCCTCGGGGATCAAGCTGTTCCCCCGGCGCTGCGCTGTGGAACTTTGTTCAAGTCTCAAGTCCATTCTGGTTCCAACAGTGAAGATTTTATGACTTAATACTTACGTCATACGAAGTGACATAAGTATTTTATCATACGAAGTAGTATTTTATCACTGATGCTTTGCACACATACAAACTACTCACGACTCCTACTATTATTATTATTATTTTGATCCACGTAAACAGCTTCACAAGGGCCTGGCATCAGGGTGTGCCTGGTATATTTGATGCCTGGACTGGTCATTTTCAAATATCCCTTTCCTTCATCTGACAACATTATTTTCAGTAATAATGATGAAATGAATAATAATAATGTCCAGAAAAACAATAAACATTTTATTTTGTTGTGCTTCGTGTATGAGCTCATGCCAGTGAAAAAATAAGATATGAAAAATAAAGTAAATGTTACAGAGAAAAATAGAAAAAAGTAATGGATTAATAGTTTTTAATTGCTTTAATGTATTTTTGAGGAAAAAAACTTACTCTTACACATAGGTTGGTCACAGAAATAAGTTAACATTACAGTTTCTGTTTCGGAACTTTAACTTCTGAAAAGTTGTCCATGACTTTGTCAAAGTTGATCTTCTTTAAAACTAATAAAAAATGATCTTCTTTGCATATTAATGCTCAAAATTTGGTAGAGCTAGATTTGCCAGTCCATCATTGCTCACAGTTGATTGAAAAACGCTTCATTAATTTTAATTTCAAGAGCTCCTCTCATGTGAAACAACAGATATACAAAGAGGAAAAGCCTTAAACATTAGGATAAGTTTGTCAGAGATTCATTAAAAACCCCATTTTGTAATACATTCTAGAGATTGCAATACTACCTACAGTCTTTTTTTCTTTTTTAAAAAAGGCAATTCTGGTGGCTCTTAAATATCTCCCCATTTGAAACATTTTCACTAAAACATTTCCCCCAGAAAATTCATCATAAATTTTTAGCTCATTTGGCAAAATTCTCCCACGTTTTTCTTCTGCAAAAATCAGAGAAAATGGCTGAGTGAGGGTGATGCTTGGGTAACCCATTGCTTTTGAATGAGAGCCTAGTGCTTGGTGAAAATAATCCAGGCTTTCAAATACTTCTACTTGGGTTTCTCCTGGCACTGGGAGAGCAGACTCCTTTTATCTTCTGTTTCAGCACAGGAACATGTAGGGTCACGGGGGTTGGCGCTACAAATCCTGTCGAAGGTGAGCTTTGAACCGTGCTGAGCTATTCGGGAAATTCCTGTCGGAACAGATGCGTGTAGCTGTGTGTCAGGGGCTGACTGACCGTCTAACTGGATGCTCTCTGATCTTCCACATAGAAGACAAAGTTTTTTAAAGAATAAGAAATAAAAACAGGCTAATTTGAAGCTCATAATTATATATATATATATATATATATATATATATAAAAAATTAAATCTCAGAGATAGAACTTAGATCTGCAGAAATAGAACCTTAGGGCAATAAAATAGCTTTGGGGAGAGTAGTATTTTATCACTGATGCTTTTTAAAATTGTTGGCATGGAGCGATAATAAACAGGAGGCTGACTTTGGGTGTGTCTTAGGACTGTTAAAATTCTCTGCGGACAAATCGCCCTTATTTGCACCCAGGGACGGTGGCTGCCACCGCCCCGGCCCAGGTGTGTCCCTGCCTGCTCGGAGGGCTGCACCGGGTAGTTGTTTTTCCAGCAGCTCCCAGGCCTCCCTGGGGTAGAGAGGCTGTGGCGTGTCTACCACAGGGCCCATGTTTCTCCGAGCCCTTTAACCAGCCTGTGCGTGACACCTCCTGGTCAGTGCCAAGCCTGGTGTGTCCACGTGTCTGTCCTGTCTGTGTCCCACATGTGCTTAGAGTGAGTGGGCCAGGAGCCTCTGCCTTCCCTCCTCCACCCACTGGTCCTTAACGCTGTGTCTTGTTGAGCAGCTGCTGCCGGGGAGCGAAGATCCATGTGAAATGGAGACTCTGTAATGGGAGGAAACTGGTGGATGTGCTCTGATCTCTGACTTTCTAGACTCCTTTCTCAGCTTCTCCCTGACCCTCCGTTTGCCTGCTGTCCTGACCGAGCAGGGAGGGGAGGAACTTCCTCAAAGAGCAAGGGCGCTTCAGTTCTGGGAGGGCCACCAGCCTCTGCTGGGAACTGTGTATGTGTCAGGCTGGCGGCCCAGTCTCGCCGGCGGGCTGGGCATGGAAACCAATCTCTGCTTCCCATGGGCTAAGCCCAACAGCTGTGGCCATTGGACAACAGGGCTGCAGCCTGAGGGGCAGTAGCAACATCAGGCCGGTGTATTAGGGCGGCCGTGAGGAGGTGGAAACGTGGAACCTGTTTTGAGGGATGAGTAGAAGTTTGCCAGTGGACAGCCAAGAAGATTTCAGGCCTAGAGTATGGTGATGTAGAGGCAAAGTGTGCTGTGGGGTTGTCATTGGATGCCGGGACCTCCGTGTGAGTTACTTGGTGTTGTAGAAAAGAACTTGGCCTTGGATTCAGGTGGATCTGCTGTGGGATCCTGGCCCTACGCCCTGGAGGGCTCTGCAACCCTGGGCAAGTTACTTCCCACTTCTAAGCTGCTTCTTGGTCCACAAAATGGGGCTGCTGTGAGGATTCCAGGGACATGAGGGGAAACCCCCCCCAGCAGGGCCTCGTGGGGCAGCGGGCAGTGGTTTCCAGAGGAGTTGGAGCGTGGTCCTGATTCACAGGGGTGGGGTGGGCACTCAGAACCGGCCTGGGGCCTGGAGGGCTAGAACCTGGGAGGCAGAGGAGTTTTGACTCCTTTTTCCTGAATACCCATGACCTTTGGGCTGCTGGGGCTGGGCCTGCTGCCTGCTGGCACTATCGCTGTCCCTGCCCCAGCGGCTGGCAAGGGAAGGGGTCATGTGTCCTGCCTCCTCCGTCTTCTCTCTGGGCCTGAGGCCGGGGAGCCTGGGCAGTCGGGCCTCCGCCCTGCACCCACCCAGCCTGGCGCACAGGGCCTCAGCCGTCCCCTAGGCATGAGGGGCTTTACAGCTTTCCCCCATTACCTTATTTATTTCTTACACAGACCTTGCCTGTTAGGTCTTAACAGCCCCGTTTTACCAGAGAAGCTCAGAGAGGTTAAGTGATTCCTAAAGGCCACACAGCAATGTTGCAGGGAGGGCTCGGCTGCGGCTGGACTGGCCTCTGCTCTGGAAGGGCGGCCTCTGTGAGGAGTTAGGTGACCGATTGCCACCCAACTCCTCACGGGTTTCTTCTCTTCCTAAGACGTCGTCACGGAAGCTCCCACTTCCCCCACAGCAAGTCCCTTCTCAGCACCCACCTGGGACTTCAGTGTTTTCTTTTTTTTAAATCACCAGTTTCTAGACATTTTCCCCGGACTGTCCAGACATGAAGGGGATGGCTAGGGATTTCCATGCTTGGCAGCGCCAGGAGAGGAACTTGCCCCCAGGGTAGGTTTCACAACCTCCGCCAGTGTCTCCAGCTATTCCCGGGGCTGCCCGCGGCCTTCCCAAGTCACACGGAGCCCAGCGGTGTGGGCGGGGAGCCGGCGGGGGCAGCCACTGCCGTATGGACTTACCTCAGCACGGACTTCCATAAAGCAGTATGGACTGGCCTCAGAAAATTAAAAATGAAACTGCCTTGCGACCCAGAGATTCCCCATTTCTGGGGATTTATTTGAAGAAATTCGAAAGAATACATGCACTCCTGTGTTCCTTGCAGTGTCATTTATGAGAGCCCAGATCTGGAAGCAGCCCGAGTGCCCATCAGTAGATGAGTGGATAAAAAAGCTGTGGTCCCTTTACACAGTGGAACCCCACTGGGGCTGGGCCCGGTGCCTGCTGGCGCTATCGCTGTCCCTTTCCCAGCAGCTGGCAAGGGAAGAGGTCATGTGTCCCACTTTCTTAAAGAAGAACATTTTACCCTTTGCGACAGCATGGGTGGACCTGGAGAACATGCTCAGTGAAATAAGCCAGTCAGAGGAAGACAAGTACCATATGCTTTCACTCATACGGGGAAGCTAACAAACAAAATAAACTAACAAAAAAAGTAGAAACAGCCTCAAAGATACAGAGAAGAGACCCACAGCTGTCAGAGGGGAGGGGCTGGGGGGCTGGGTGAAAACAGTGAAGGGAAAAAGCAAAATAAGCCACAACAAACCCTCTTATTCCAGAGGGAAAAGGTGGGGAGGGAAGACTGTAAAGAGGGCACAGGTGGTGATGGAAGGAGACTTCCCCTGGGGCGGTGAACAGACAGTACAATATACAGGTGGTGTGTTCTGGAATTGGCCCCCTGAAACTGATATAATTTTAGTAACCGGTGTCATCCCAATAAAGTCAATACCAAAAAATACAACAGTGGCAGCAAAAACTGCCATTTATAGAACGCGT